AGGGTCACATAACAATGTATGTATAAATTTTTGTATGAGAGACTAACTTGAATTGTAAACTTTCACTTAAAGTACAATAAAATAAAATTAAAAAAAAAAAAAAGGATAAATCCCAATTTCTTCTCAGTGCCTCTAAGGCCCTGAATGATCTGGCTGCTGCCTACCTCTTCTGCCTCAGTTTCCATCCTTCTCACCTTTGCCCTCTGAGCTCCAGGCATGTTGGTCTCCTTTTTGTATTTGAATGGTCAGTGTTACTTCTCCATGTCTTTGCATGTGCTGCCTCCTCCACCTGGTATCGCTCTTTCTCAGCCCTCCCCTGACCTGCTTCACTTGGCTAAATCCCCCATGTCTTTGAGGTCAGGAGGCAAGTTGACAGGCGTAGGGAAGCCTTCACTGACCAGCCCCCTTCTCTAGACTCCATGCCTCCCTACACTTCTTCCTTCATTGTCCTACTCTCAGTTGTAAATAACAATCTGTACCATTATTTGATTACTATCTGTCTCCCCCATTAGACTGTGAGCTCCTTGGGGCATGGACTGCTTCTGTCTTGACTCCCAGCATCACCCAGCCAAAGCCCTGCACACACTGTAGATGGTCATTAAGTATTTAATGAAGGTTGCATGTTGAGGGCTCAGACTCTTCTTCTCTGAGCCTCAGCCTCCCTCTCCCATGCAGACTTTCTTCTGGGAACTGTCAGGGAAATGGCTACCACCCAACCCCTCCTTGCAAATGCCCAGGGCAGGGGCTGCTCTCCTCGCGGGTGACGCAACTACAAGCAAGGGCCCCGCCCTACAGCGGACGCTGACTGGGTCTGGTTGGGCAAGGCCAAGGTTGCCTGGGGGAGGTTACTCATCCGGGGGCTCAGGTAAGAGGGCCTGGGTTGGGAGGCGGCACACTCAGGGGGGAGGCTGAGGGAGCAGGACCGAGCCATGAATCCCGCCAGGAAAGCAGTGATCTGGACGGCAGGCTGGCTGCTGCTGCTGCCATTGCTGCTTCAGGAAGGTGGGTCCGCTGCCGGGCGTGGCTGGAGGGGGTAGATCTAGGGAGGAGGTTCCCCGCCCCAGCCCCCACAGATGGCTGTGGGAGAAAGTCTTCCATCCTGAGCAGAGGGGGCTGTGAAAGTGATCCTTGCCTGGGAAGAAGGGGTGGTGGAAAAAGTTCCCCCACTCTGTAGCGTTCCCTGCCCTGGGCAGAAAGGGCTGCGAGAAACCTCCCCTGTCTTGGGTAGAGGGGGCTGTTGGAAGGTCCCCCACCACGGGCAGAACGTACTGTGGGAAAAGTTCTCCCATCTTGAGCAGAGAGGGCTGTGGGAAGGATTCTCTATCTTGGTCAGAGGGGGCTGTGAAAGGGCCCCCCACCATGGGCAGAGAGGGCTCTGGGAAGGCCCCCTCCCACTATGGGCAGAGAAGGCTGTGGGGAAAATTCTTCCATCTTGAGCAGCGGCGGCTGTGGAAAGGGTCCCCAGTCATAAGAGAGGATTACAGGAAGGGATCCTTCATTCTGAGCAGAATGGGAAAAGTTCTCCCATCCTCAGCAGAGAGCTATGGGAAGAGATCCCCCTACCCTTGGATGAGGAGGCTCGGTGGAGGGATGCCCCACATCACAAGGGGCTGTGGAGTGAGTGCTCCCACTCTAGGCATACCAAAAAACCTGTTGCCATCGAACCGATTCCTACTCTTAGCGACCGTATAGGGCAGGGTAGAACTGCCCCATAAGGTTTCCAAGGGGCGGGTGGTGGGTTAGAACTGCCGACCTTTTGGTGAGCGGCGTAGCTCACCGTAGCTCTTAACCACTGCGCCACCAGGGCTCCTCTCTAGGCATAGGGGGCTTAAAGGAAAGGGACCCCGTGTATCCCGCGACCCCACGTTTTTGGGAAGGCTTCTATGAGTGGGAATAGACTCAACGGCAACGGGTCTGGTTTTGGTTTGGTCCCTCTCCCTGCCCCGGGAAAGGTTGTGCAGGGATGGACTGTCTCATTCCGGGGACAGAGGGCGTGGGAAGCACCATTTCCTGAATAGATGGCTCTGTTCTACTCGGCCCACACCCCCAGGAGCGCAGGCCCTGGAGTGCTACAGCTGCGTGCAGAAAGCAGATGACGGTTGTTCTCCGCAGAAGATGAAGGCGGTGAAGTGCGCGCCGGACGCCGACGTCTGCACAGAGGCGGTGGGAGCTGTGGAGACCAGTGAGTCAGGACTCGGGGTCCACGCGCAAGGTTCAGGCTCCTCCAGCCCGCCCCCTCTGCATCTGGCCACACCTTTCCAACGCAGCCCCGCTCCACTCTTTCAGCCTGACCTGGGCTCTCCAACGCGGCTGCGCCCCTCACTCCCGGGCTGTCCGTCGCCATCCGGGCTTCGGGTGGTGGGAGGCTGAGAGTTGCAAACTGGGTGGGGCGGACTGGGAGAGCCTGGGTCTGCAGCCGCGTCCACCCTTTTGGAATCTCGTCCTCTTTGCGGGTACACCCTATTCATTTCCGCGCCACCACGGACACTTCCTGCGCCCTTCTGTCCCTGCCGGAATTCTCCCCTCCTCAAGCCAGCTTCCCATATCCGATGGGGCCCCAGGTGATGGAGGTTCCCTTTCAGAGGTCTTCTCCTCGGTTCCCACGGTCTGAGGCCCTGTTCTTCTGTTTAAGCCCCGCCCTTCACAGACTCAGCTCTCTGCAGAAGCCCCACCCCTGTAGAGTTGGCTAATGAAACCTCCCTTTCTGAGGCCACTTCCCTAGAAGGCCCATATTTCTCTGATCCTGTGCTTTTTTTTTTCTTTTCGTCAGTCTCTCGGTTCCTTATGATGAGGCTTTCTGCTGCTTCGCCCCTCGTGGCCCTTTCCCCTCCATTTGTCCGGTGTCTGTCAGCCTGTCTGTCTGATCCCTTGGACCCAGCCCTTCGAGGTTCCGCCCCTCTATGTCCTCGCCTCTTCTGTCATTCTTCCGTCTGTTTTTTCCCCTACGATCTGCTCTGAGAGCCCAGTCTTCGGATCCTCGTTTGTCTAGTCTCTGTTAGTTGTTGCCGAGCTGATTCCACTCATGGCGACCCCATATGTGCAGAGTAAAACTGCTCCATAGGATTTTCAAGGCTGTGACCTTTAGGAAGCAGATTGCCAGGCCTGTCTTCTGAGGCGCCTCTGGGTGGGTTTGAACCGCCGACCTTTCCGCTGGTAGTCCAGCCGCTTAACCATTTGCGCCATCCAGGTACCGTTCTATTCGAGGCCCCGCCCCTTTGAAACCCTGCCCTCCTCTGACCCCGCCCTCCTCTCGGCAGTCCACGGGCAACCCGCGGTGGCAGTGCGGGGTTGTGGCTCGGGACTCCCCGGGAAGAATGACCGCGGACTGGACCTTCACGGGCTTCTGGCCTTCATCCAGCTGCAGCAGTGCTCCCAGGACCTGTGCAACACCAAGCTCAACCTCACCTCGGGAGCACTCAATCCCGCAGGTGAGTGGGGGCGGGGTAATAGGCCCAAGGGCACGGCTAGCGGGGGAGCTGTGAGAGCAGTACTCGACGCGGACTGGGGACGGGATCGCACTCTAGGATGGGGCTAAGACTTCACTGCTGTAGGTAAGCTGAGGTTGGACGCAAGGGCGGGGCTACGGGTCTGTGCGCGGGAAGGCCGTGGCCACTGAGCTGAGCTGTGCGTCTGTTGAAGGTCGGAAACGTGGGCTGGAGGGACCAGGACCTCTGATTCCTGAGCCTTCTCGTCCCCTTTCCTTCCTTCCCATCCCCTTGCAGGCAATGAGAGTGCTTACAAGCCCAACGGCATCGAGTGCTACAGTTGCATGGGGCTGAGCCCCGAGGCGTGCCAGGGTTCGGCGCCACCCGTCGTAAACTGCTACAATGCCAGCGACCATTTCTACAAGGGCTGTTTCGATGGCAAAGTTACCTTGACAGCAGGTGAGCGAGCTCCGGAGTAGGGGACCGTAGGGGTTGTGGTAGCCCTTCTGGGGTAAGAGTTCCCACCCCTTAAATTCAAGGGGTTAGGGCTCCCTCTTATCCCGGAGCATTAAACCAAGCCTGTTGGCGTCGAGTCACTAGCGACCTTAAAGGACAGAGTAGAGCTGCCCCGTAGGGTTTCCAAGGAGCAGCGGGTGGATTCGAACTGCCAACGTTTTGATTACTAGCCTGAGCTCTTAACCACTGCGCCCCAGGGCTCTTCTGGAGTAATTGGAAAGATAATAGTTCAGCTTCCTGGCCTCTGCCTCAGGGAACCATGGGAGATGAAGTTCTCCAAGCTTCATCCTCTGCCAGGTGCACTATGGGAGGTGTAGTTCTGACTCTTAGGCTAAATTTTGGCGGTCCGGAAGAGGGCAACGAAGAGGAAGGGAGAGGGAGAAATGGTAGGGAGGGACGTGGGGGATGTTTGTTGTGTTCTTTGGTTGTGTGAGAGTTGCTCTATCCCAGTCCAAACCTTTCAGCCAAGGTATTGTGGGACTTGTAGTTCAGCTTACAAGGTTTCCTCTCAAAGTGCTTTGGGAAATATGGATCACCAGTTACAAAGACAATGGAACAGTGTTTCTCAAAGCGGGGCCCGAGTTGAGACTTTTTGGATGAAGGGGTACAGGACCCTTCTGTCCCCTGTTTTGGGGGTTCTCTGCTCCCATCTTACTCCTAGTGTCCCCAAATTTCATTATGGCTGTGCCTCCCCCTTCTCTCTAACCACTGACCACATATGTCTCCCTCCTGCAGCCAGTGTGACTGTATCCTTGCCCATCCGGGGCTGCGTCACGGACGAGTTATGCACCCGCGATACGGTGACAGGTCCAGGCTTCACGCTCAGCGGTTCCTGCTGCCAGGGATCCCGCTGTAACTCCGACCTCCGCAACAAGACCTACTTTGCCCCTCGAATCCCTCCCCTTGTCCTGATGACCGCTTCCCAGCCCACCACTCCGGCCCTGACCACTTCTGTCACCACATCGACCCCAGCCCCACCCACCACTTCTTCCACTACCAAACCCAGCCCAGCGCCAGCCAGCCAGACTCCTCCGGAAGAGAAGAAGGCAGAACCTGAGGCCTCCCAGGAAAACGGGCCCACCTTGGCTGGAGGTGCTGCCGGCCACCAGGACCGCAGTAATGTGGGGAAGCGCCCCGTCAAAGGTGAACTCCAGGACCACTCCAAGGGCTCTTCAGCTCCCATGGTCGGATTGGCGACTCTTCTGTTGGCTGTGGTTGCTGGCGCCCTACTGTGAGCTTCTCCGTCTCAGGACCTCCCCCTTGCCCTCCTTCCCTGGCCCTGGGCACCCCTCTCCCCATTACATTTCCCTTTCCCCTCAGTGGACTGGGCTGGCCCAGCTCCCATTCTTCCAGTCTCCCTAGTCCCCTCAGCTTCCGCTGTGCTGGTTAGCAGCTATGGGAAATAACGTTACTGTTGTATATAACCCGCCAGGGTCTACTAGATTTTTGAGGGCATTTCGGCTGTATCTCTGTCATCCTTGTCTCTCTCTCATCCCCTCATGGTGCTCAGGACAGACAGAGGTCAGAGCTGTCACAGGGAAGGAGAAGGAGACAATGATAAGCTTCCTATTTGCTTTCTCATAGCCGACTTGGAATCTGGGAGAGGATTAATGGTTCCTCCTCTGGTCACTGCTGCCTCCTGCCCCTCCATCTTTGCAGGAATCACTTCCGAGTCTGTCTCCCTTACTAGACTGTGAGCTCCTCAAGGGCAGGGACTACGCCTTATGGCTCTGTGTGGCCAGTTCCTGGCACTTAACGGACTCAATAAAAGTTACGTTACTTTGTATAGTGCTTTAAAGGAGCCATTTTCACCTCATTTGTCATTATCTTAAAGCTGAGCTGGGGCAGGAATGCCAAGGCCTCTACTAGACAGAGAAGCTGAGATCTAGAGCCACAGTCCTGGGGGAAAGTTGGGGTTTGAATTCCTTTGCATTTGTTGGGAACTAATTAGCTTGCGGAGCCCTGGTGGTGCAGTGGCGAAGGAAAAGCCCTGGTGGCTGCTAACCAAAAAGTCGACAGTTCAAACCCACCAGCCACTCTGAGGGAGGAAAGACCTGGCGATCTGTTCCCGTAAAGATTACAGCCTAGGAAATCCTATAGGGCAGTTCTGCTCTGTCTTATAGGGTCACTATGAGTCGGAGGAATTGACTCCATGGCACACAGCAACAAGTAGTGTGTGGGTGATCGCACTGGTGATGGGGAGACTGGGGGAAACCATTAAGCATTATTGAGGGGTGAATGGGTTTTTTTTTAGCAATGCTAGGAAGCAGAGAAAGTCCCCTGGGTGGTGCAAATGGTTAAAGCACTGGGCTGCTAACCGAAATGTTGGAGGTTTGAGTCTACCCAGATACACCTCAGAAGAAAGGCCTCGCCATCTTGAAAAATTACCCATTGAAAACCCCATGGAACACAGTTCTGTTCTGACACACATGGGGTTGCGATGAGTTGAAATCATCTGGATGCCAACTGGTAACTGGTAGGAAGCAGAAGAAAGCTTTGTCTAATATGCACCCTCCCCAGGCCCTACCCCGCTTACTGTTCAGCTGGTTTGTTTGGGCACCCTGCTTGCCCAAAGAGGTCAAGGGTGCTGTCGTCCATCTTTGCTGCATGTTGGGGACCTAGGGCCTGAATCCCACCTTCCTTTCCTTTCAGTAAGCTGAAGGCCTGGCCTTAGAGGCCCCAGGGAAGAAAATCCTGGCTTGGAGTTGAGGGGTCCTGGTAGGCTTTGGGACTCTTGATGGGAGGGGCATTGGATGTGGGGGAATAGTGAGATGGGAATAGTAATATTGCCAACATTGCTATCAATAATGAGCAGTAATTTGAAGTAGTAATAATAATAACAAACAATAGTAAATAATAATTCTAGTAACAACAGAGAGAATTAATAAGAGCATGGGCAACAATATAAATGGTAACATCAGTAATAGTAACTATGGTTACAGGAATGTTGTTCTTAGGTACCGTCAAGTCAGTTCTGACTCGTAGCGACCCTGTGTACAACAGAATGAAACACTGCCTGGTCTTGTGCCATCCTCATGATTGTTGCTGTATTTGAGCCCATTGTTGCAGCCACTGTGTCCGTCCATCTCCTCGAGGGTCTTCCTCTTTTTCTCTGACCCTCTACTTTACCAAGCATGGTGTCCTTCTTCAGGGACTGGTGCCTCCTGATAACATGTCCAAAGAAAGTGAGGCAAAGTCTCAACATCTTCGCTTCTTAGAGCATTCAGGCTGTCCTTCTTCCAAGACTGACTTGTTCGTTCTGCTGGCAGTTCATGGAATATTCAGTAGTCTTTGCCAACACCGTAATTCAAAGGCATCAATTGTTCTTCAGTCTTCCTTGTTCATTGTCCAGCTACAGGAATGTTAGTGATTAAGAAAGGAGTCAGGCCTGTGTTAATGGTGTTTGCACACATCATCTCATCTTATTCTCCACATAAATTCTCTGATGGGATGATGATTGGGGAAACTGAGGTTCAGAATGGTGAAGTAATTAATCCACAGCAAGTGATCCATTTATTATGCGCCAGGTATTGTTTCAAGTGCTTTGCTTGTATTAAAATATTTAATCTACACAACAACCTATGAAGTAAATACTAATCATTTGCATTTTACAAGATAAAGAAACCAAGCCCAGAGAGGTTGAGAAGCTTGCCCCATGTGACCCAGCTAATAAACAGTGAGACCTGGATTTGAACCCAGGCAGATTGGCTTGATAGAGTGCAAACTGCTAACCATAGTGTTACAAAGTTTCAGGCTGAGATTCTGACTCCTAGCGACCCAACAGGACAGAGTACAACTGCCCCACAGGTTTCCAAGGAGCGGCTGGTGGATTCGAACTGCCGAGCTTTTGACTAGCAGCCATAGCTCTTAACCACTACATCACGAGAGCTCCATGTATTTCCACAGCCTCTCCCAAACTCTCCCCTGAGCTGACTTGTATATTTTATTGGCTGTTTGACTTCCCCACTCACGTGGTTTAAAGGCATCTGAAAAGGAACAGAGGAGAAGGGTTGATTACATAACCCTCACCGAACCTGTTTTTCCTGCAGTCTTACCAACCTCAGTAATTAGCACCCCACTTGCTTAGCCCAAAAAAGTCATCCTTTTCTCTTCCTTTTCACTTCTTTCCCACATCAAATCTCTCAGTTTAGTTGGTTCTACCCATGAAACACATCCAAGTCTGGGCACTTCTCTGTGTCTTCATTGCTGCCACCATCGTCACATGCCTGGATGTGTGCAGTAGAATCCTCACTCCATGCTGCCACCCTTGCTCCTTGTTGTTAGTTGCTTTTCAAGTCCTGTTGTGACTCATGGCGACCCCATTCACAAGGGAATGATATGCTGCCTGTTCTTGTGACCTCCGCATGAGTGGATGTGGACTGGACATTGTGACCCATAGAGTTTTCATTGGCTGCTTTTTCGAAGTAGATCACCAGCCTTTTCTTCCTAGTCTATCTTAGTCTGGAAGCTCTGCTGAAACCTGTTAAAGCATCGTGCAACACTCCATGGACAGACAGGCGATGGCTGTGCATGAGGTTCAGTGGCCAGGAATTGAACTCCGGTCTCCTGCATGGAAAGTGAGAATTCTACCACGGAACCACCAATACCTCAGATAACATGACTCCCCTGCTTAAAACTACCCAATGGCTAGAGAAACCCTGAGAGTGTGGCTCCTGGACACCCTTTTAACTCAGTTACTGAAGTCACACCTGAGGTTCACCCTTCAGTGAACCTGTTATGACAGGCTCATAAAACAAAACGAGACTAAATGGGCACACCAGCTCACGGGCAAGGACAAGAAGGCAGGAGGGGACAGGAAAGCTGGTAATGGGGAACCCAAGGTCGAGAAGGGAAGAGTGTTGACATGTCGTGGGGTTGGCAACCAATGTCACAAAACATTATGTATATTAATTGTTTAATGAGCAACTAATTCGCTCTGTAAACCTTCATCTAAAGTACAATAAAAACAAAACAAAAAACTACCCAGTGGCTTCCCATTCTACTCAGAATAAAATCCAAATTCTTCATCATGGTCTATGAAGCCCTTTATGATCTGGCCTGGGTCTGTTATTTCCCACGACTTTCCTCCTTGTTTACTAGTTTATAACCCTGTGGGTCTTTTTTCTGTTCCTTACACCTGACCTATTCATTCCCATCTCAGGACCTTTGCACTCACTGTCCCTTATTTCTGGAATAGGCTTCTTCTAGATCTCTGTAGGGCTGATGGTTCCTTGTCCTTTAGGTCTTAGACTCAATGTCATCTCCTCAGAGAGGTCCTTCCTATCTATGGCCTCATCTCCCATCACGTTGCCTTAATTTTTTTCTTTTTTATGAAAAATTTCAAAGATACAGAAAAGTTGAGAGAATTGTACAGCAAGCAAACACCCATGCACCTACACGGAGATTCTTCAATGCATATTTTGCTCTACTTATTTTATTACATTTCTGTCATCGATCCACCACTCTATTCATCTCGTTTTCTGATGCATTTCAAAGTGAGTTGCAGACATCAACATCCTATGAACAATAGAGTAGCTACAACATTCTGTTGAGCTTTAAGCTCGACAGAGAACTCCTATAAACATCTGGCACCAAATCCAGATTTCATGGTGGCCACATGGACAGTAGACAATAAGAAAGACCGAGGAAGAATTGATGCCTTTCAATTACGGTAGTGGTGAAGAATATTGACTATACCATGGACTGCCAAAAGTACTAACAAATCTGTCTTGGAAGAAGTACAGCCAGAATGCTCCTTAGAAGCGAGGATGGCAAGACTTGGGCTCATCTACTCTGGACATGTTATCAGGAGGGATCAGTCCCTGGAGAAGGACATCATGCTTGGTAAAGTAGAGGGTCAGCGAAGAAGAGGAGGACCCTCAGTTTGATAGATTGACATCACGGCTGCAACAATGGGCTCAAGCATAACAATGATTGTGAGGATGGCACAGGACTGGGCAGTGTTTCGTTCTGTTGTACATGGGGTCGTTATGAGTCGGAATCAACTTGACGGCACGTAACGACAACAACAATATAGACTGTATTCCTTCAGTGGGAAGGTGGCTGTTGTGCTGAGAGTGCTATAATGGGGTAGAGGTTCTCTGCACATGCTCAGTATCCAGAGAACTCCCTGCCCACTCCGCCACCCCCAATTCTTTTCCACAGGATAACAGGAGATGCTTTGTGGAGAACTGAGAAGTTATGAAATAATCATCTAGGAGAATGAGAGAGTGAA